TGTTTTATTGACCTGAAGGAAGAAAACGGCACTTTTTCAGGGTTCCACTGACTCGGACAGCCTTTCCCCGGACTGGGTCTCAGTGTGTGAGATTTCACTGTAAAATCCATGCAAGTCCTTAACAGGTATGGATGCTTGGGTTTTGGAAGGTGGGATGGGCCATGGTCTTTATTCTTAATTTTTGTTGTTGTTTTTTCCCCCAAGGTGTGGCTGGCAGGTCACAGTGTGCCCCACCCCGGGATGTGAGCTTGGGTCACAGCAGTGAGAGCCACCAGGTCTGGCCTTGACTCGCACATCCCAGCACTGTCCCGCGTGGACCCGCCCGGCCCTCGGTGGCCTTCCTCTGCGGCCAGGTCGGCACTGGGCACAATTCCTGTCGGCATAATCCTCACCCCCAGGACCCGGGCGCCCCCTGTTCCGTGAGCCCCGGGGAGGTAAGCACACAGGATCCCTCATCTAGTCCATCACCTGCCAGCTCAGGCCATGGACACCAAGAGCAGCCATGGACCCAGCAGGGAACGCGCTCGGTGAGTCTTTACAAAGTGAACAAAATCTCACGAGCTGGACTCAGAGCCCTGCCTCCTTCGTCCCCCAGTCTGTTCTGCAAGGATCCAGCGAGAGCTCCACTTGACCCCAGCACACCGTTCTTTCTTCTCATTCCACCCGGGGCCACCGGTGGGCGCCAGCGTCCCCTCAGACGGGCCACTTGACGCACGGTGTCCAGACACAGGGTTTGTGGCCGCCAGCCAGGGCCATGCCTGCCCGCTGCACGGACCCTCCCTTCCGCTCCACAGTGTGCCAGCTGGGGACACGGCCTCCTGGGTGGGCAGGGCCTGCGGGGGGGGGGTTGGGGGGGGAGAAGGGAAACCCAGGGCACACGTCTCCATGGCAACCAAACACACTGGCTGCTGGCGGAGCAAGGCAAGAAAGAAGGGGACTTTTAAGAAACTACAGAAACGCCCACACATTGCACTTCTGGGAACGAACACCAAGGAAACGCTTCAGCAAGGGAAGAAGGACGCATGCACCACGGCAGTCGGGGGCTGTGGGTGACGACCCACAGGCCGGAAGTGAGCTCCAAGTCACAACACGGGGAACAACTCCCGGTTACTAGGCAACGGTGACAATGCTTACTATGAAGACTGCGGAGACGTGGAGGAACGTACGACAAAATAGTAAACCAAAAAGGATATGACGCTTTAGATGCTACGATTACAATTCTAAACATTTTAGAGACCTGTGGGCAAATTTGTACACATTTGGACAAAGCCTCGAGGGGAAAACATACAACTACAAGCCCCAGTTTCAGTAACATCGCAGGTTTCAGCTTCTAAGATGTTCTTTGCAGCTGCCATGCTGTTGTCACAACCAAAAGTGAGCTTAACGTTGTTGCTGCTTGTGAGCGGAGGGGAGCCAGGGCGCCCTAAGGAACCCGCACCCTCCACAGAGGAAAAGGCCCAGAGGAGACACCCTGGACCCTCCCAGCTCCCCTGAGGGTGAGAGGCTGTCGGAGCACCTCCCAGCTCCCCTGGGCCCGTCACTGAGACGAGACAGCTCTCATCTCTGATGAGGGCGGGGCTGCACCTGGGACTGGCTGCTCAGCGTCCCGCAACCGCCTGGCCATGTGTGTCCTTTTCGGTGTGTGGGACGAGGACCAGGCAGCTGGCACGTCTGGCACATCCTTCGTTTCGTTGTCTGCGAAAGTAACAAACTGCCTGAACCTAAAAGCAGCTCACTGTATCTTCGCCAGTCAGGTCAGTGGGGCCTCGGCCTTTCCTGGATGCATGTGTGAGCGGACAAGACCCAGCATTTTGTTAGTAAATTATCAATACGATCAAGGAAGCGGGTGTGCGTGCGTGCGTGTGTGCGTGGGTGTGTGCGCGCGTACCTACAGAAACACGCCTCTATGGTGTTTTAGGCTAGATTGTTTTCATAAGTGAAACGGGAAACAGGAAAACACATGCACCCCAACAGGAAAAACCCGGATGTGCATGGCTGAGCTGGATTTGGGAGCCTGGATTCTGGGCCGGCTCCACCCTAGGTCTCCAATCTTGAGCGACTTTCTCCCGTCTCTGGGCCCCCATTTCCTCTTCCCCGACGAGGAGGGGTGGACCCCGGCTGGACCGTCCCCTCAACGCTGAGGTTCGCAGACACACCTGAGGCCCCGCGGAGCCAGGCCACGGGGAGCCAGGCCACGGGGAGCCAGGCCACGCAGAGCCAGGCCACGGGCGCCCGGGCCTCCTGCTGCTGCAGCAGCTCCAGGGCAGCGGTAAGCCACCAAACCAAGGCAATTCCTTCGGGCGGCTGAGAGAGGCTGCTCAGGCACAGGCCTGGGTCTCCCCGGCTCCCTCCGCGTGGAGAGGCGGCTGTGTGTTCACACGCCCAAGGAGTGTGTGCAGGCCCCGTGCAAACGGGAATGCGGGACACCCTCTTTCTGACGGAGTCCCGTCCCTGTGCCTTCGGCAGCCCCGCTCTGGGGCCTGGACGGCTGGCACGGAGTCACGGAGCGTGTGGTCACGGCATCCATGACAACACCAACCAGAAAGCCGGGCACATCTCCCGGCTGGGGGAACAGGGAAGGCGCGTGGAAAAGGCAGCCGCTGAGCTGGGTCCTGAAGGCCGGTCAGAATCTGAATGTACAGAGCGAGTAGAGAGGGGAGATGCTAGGGAGCTGTGTGTTCAGAGACACGGATGTGGAGAGGAGGAGGGCTGTTTGACTTGCTAAGTTAGTAGGAAGCGATGACAGAGACCAGACCACAAGGGCCTTGACGGCTGGACCAAGCCAACGCCCACACACGCCAGCTACCCTCCTGAAGCCTGTGGGCTTGTCAGAATCTGAAGCGAGAGAAACCCAACCATTGAGGAGCTGACAGCGAGTCATGCGGCCACAGGAGGAGCCAACTGACTCATTAATATACTCCTCCCCAACAGCTTTATTTACTTATTTATTTTTAATATATTTTTCTTGACTTCTGAGAGGAAGGGAGAGGGAGAGAGCGACAGAAACATCAATGTGAGAGAGAATCACTGATCAGCTGCCTCTTGCAACGCCCCCTACTGGGGATCGAGCCCGCAAACCAGGCATGTGCCCTTGACAGGAATCGAACCCAGGACTCTTCAGTCTGCAGGCCGATGCTCTGTCCACTGAGCCAAACCAGCTAGGGCTTTCTTTTATTTTTAATCCTCACCTGAGGATATGTTTTTAGTTGATTTAAGAGAGAAAGGAAGGGAGAGAGAGAAAGAGAGAGAGAGAGAGAGAGAGAGGAACATCGATATCAGACAAACATAAATTGGTTGCCTCTGGTACATGCCCTGACCTGATTGGGGATCAAACCCACAACCTTTTGTTGTACAGGACGAGGCTCCAACCAACTGAGCCACCTGGCCAGGACTCCCCGGCAACTGTCTTAGTTCAAATGATGATCGCTTGAGAAGGGAAACAGCCTCTAATTAATATTTTCTTTTTCCCTGGAAAATAGAGCAAATATTGAGAAATACTTTGGCACAACTCTTGTACAGATGGATAAAACAGAAACGTGTCAGTGAGTGAGGGAATCAGTAAGCTGTTATAACCGGGAGACTGTGGAGAAGCACACGTACGCAGGACACCGGAAACGCCGAAGTGAGCGTGTGGGTCTCTTCCCTTTTGCGGCCACCGCAGAAGCGCCAGCGGTTCCATCCCTTTGTGCTTTCTGACCGGAGCAGGAACCATAAAAGGCACTTCACTGCACCTTCCCACATTCGCAGGAAGACTGTGTGCTCTGCCCTTTCCAAAGAGCTGAGACAGAAGTGCAGTGTGGACCCGTGCCCGTCCGAAAGGATGACGGAGCTCAGGTTGTTCGAGGACATCACTAAGGGCAGCAAACGGGCAAAGGAGCCCAGGTGGACAGGAAGAAATACGTCATCGCACTGGACGAGCGCGGCGGGAGGAAGCGAACGGTGCGCCTGCGCACGTGGGCATCCGCCCAGCCAGGCGGTGACCACCACTGACACTGGACAAAGACCGCAAAAGGATCCTTGAATGTCAAGCCACGCAGGAAAGGAAAAGGGAAAATTCAAGGAGGACACAATTGAGAAGATGCAGAATAAAGTAATATTATGTACAACTTTCATTAAAAACTTAAAGAGAAAAAAAAGAAACGCTGAAATAAACTTGCTAAACAGACGCAAAACCAACAGCAGTTGACGCCACAGGGCCACGGTCAACGGCCCTCCACCAGGCGAGTGCATGTCGCGGCGGGAAACACGGGTGTCGCCAGCAGGACCAAGCAACCTGCAGCGTGTGACCTGGCTCAACGGCAAGGCCAGGCCCCGATAGCCTGGTGACCGACCACAGCATTTCCACTCAGGACACGAGGAGACTTAGGTCCGTTTCCAAGCCTTCCACAGTTTTCCCTACAAAGGTGAGTACTGCCCTAGCTGGTTTGGCTCAGTGGATAGCGCGTCGGCCTGGGGACTGAAGGGTCCCAGGTTCGATTCCGGTCAAGGGCATGTACCTTGGTTGCAGGCACATCCCCAGTAGGGGGTGTGCAGGAGGCAGCCGATCGATGCTTCTCTCTCATCGATGTTTCTAACTCTCTATCCCTCTCCCTTCTTCTCTGTAAAAAAATCAATAAAATATATTAAAAAAATAAAAAAGGTGAGTCCTGATCAATGCACAAACTGTGCATCTCAGGCAGGGGTTTACGGGACAGCGCAGTGGGGACTGGAGCGTGAGGTTTCCAGCATGACAAGCCTGACGTGGCGAGGCGGCGCTCCGAAGCCACTCAATGTCTCGCCAAAGTCCATCCCAGGCGAGGCCTGGTGCCCGGGGACCAGTCACCTGACCGTGATGGGCCCCGTACTGGTAGCACAAAACCCTGCGCAGGAGGCGCCATCCTTCTGGTGGGACCACAAAGGGCCAAGGCCAGCGGCATCTTCAGGACGGAGGCTCTTCCCTCTCCTCCCTTTCACGGTCCCCACGACCTCCCCCTCCCCCGCTGCGCCCCGCACACACTCACTGCAGGCCGCACAGGTGAAGCAGGCGTCGTGGTACAGGTTCCCCATGGCCTGGCAGGCCTGGCCGGCCCCAAACACCCCTTTGCTGCATTTCACACAGGAACCTGCAAGGGCGAGAACACACCGGTGAGTCAGAGGGAAACAGTGTAAACTGAGTCAGACACAGCCAGTGAGCAAAGCCAGATGCTCCTCCCCATAAGCAGCACGTCACCCACCCCATGGGTCGCTCCTTTGCAATGTTTTCCTCTCTCTCTCTCTCTCTTTCTCTTTCTCTCTCTCTCTCTCTCTCTCTCTCTCTCTCTCTCTCTCTCTCTCTTTGCCCTGCATCAGCCTTTCAAGGGTCAGTGCTCCCACCACAGGGAACGGCCGCCAGGCTGGGCTTCAGGCCCTACCCTACTGCCCTCCGCTCTGCCACGCCTCCATGTTGTCTGCTACTTCCTGCCGGAGCCCCAGCGTCTCCCACCTTCTCTAGCACAGAGTCCAAAACCCTGCACTGTCATGAACACATGCAGAGCGCACGGATGGCAACATCTCAGCTCAATGGTTTCCTTTCAATCTCAGTGGGAACCACGGACTACCATCTACTCTCCTCACTTCTTACAGAAGTGTCCGGCCCGCACCTTCCCAACCTGCCCCCACCCCCCTGTGCTGGGTCTTAGCTCTTAGCCTTGCTCCTGGGCTCCCCTGCCTGGCACCCTGCGCCCACCCTCCATCCCTCCAAGTCCTTCGGGTCTCTCCCTCCCTCCGGCTCTCTGGCTCTGAGGCGACACGGCGGACCTGTAGTCACAGAGCCGCTCCAACCTGGAACTGTCCACCCACTCACCTCCCACGTGGCTTGAGTTAAGCTCTAAGGCAGTGGTTCTCAACCTTCCAAATGCCGTGACCCTTTAATACAGTTCCTCATGTTGTGGTGACCCCCCAACCATAAAATTATTTTCGTTGCTACTTCATAACTGTAATTTTGCTACTGTTATGAATCATCATGTAAATATCTGATATGCAGGATGTATTTTCATTGTTACAAATTGAACATAATTAAAGCATAGTGATTAATCACAAAAACAATATGTGATTATATATGTGTTTTCCAATGGTCTTAGGCGACCCCTGTGAAAGGGTCATTCGACCCCCAAAGGGGTCGCGACCCACAGGTTGAGAACCACTGCTCTAAGGTCTCTGAGCATCAGTTTTTAGTTGGAAAGTAGAGGTTCCTCCACCTGCCCTTCACGTTTGCAGGAGCAGCAGCGAAGGCTGCCTGGCAACCAAGGGTTCTGAAGAGTCACCTGTCCTGACTACCGCAAGCCAGGAAACACCCGGCCTGGGATGTAATGCCACAATCTACAATCACCCATACATCAGGGAGAGGGGGCCCCTTTCAGGGTCACCATGAGAGACACGAGTGCTTCGCGCAGGGCCCCTCATTTGGTGGATGCTCGGGAAACAGGCACATAGATAAAAAGGGTGGTGCTAACGTCACTGCACTCAGCAAGGAGTTGCTTCAGCTTGAAGGGAGCTCTACGAGACCTCCCAGGCCCCAGGGCCTCCCCCTGTCGGTCTGTCTGGGCCAACCTGAAGCCGCACCACCACAGCCAGGCTCTGGGCTGGTCCCCAGAAAGCAGGCCCTGGAGCCCCTCTTCCAAAGGACTCCCCCCACCCCAGGCAAGCAAAAAGCTTCACCAATTACATACAGAATGCAGGACACACACACACACACATTTCTTTTTTCCAGGGAAATATACCAAAACATAAAGAGGTGTTTCTTCAGGTTGTAAATTTATGACTGCTTTTACTTCTTTGCAGTGTCTGTATTTAAGAAATAATTCTTGTAAGGGCAGGTAAAAAAAAAAAAAAAAAGGTGTAGTCTCAAAAAAGGTTTGAATATGTCTAAGTAGATGGTGTGATGTTAAGCTGTTGAAAAATCAATTCTGTGTACACACATCTATGCATCCAGCAGGCGACCAGCTCTCGTGCTCGGTCAGCAGGGGCTCGGGCGTCCTGCTCTAACTCTGGTTCCGATCTGCCGGGCTGTCCCCGGGCTGCCAATCCCCAGCCTTCTGCCTACAGCGCTAAAAGCCCTGTGTGTCACAGTTCCTGTCACCCCAAGATGATGAGCTAACGGTACCACCTTCAGAAATTCACTCGCACCAACCCAACAGGTCCACGGAGAACACGCCAAGCCCAGGGCCCTCGCGCTGCAGCCAGCTCCCTGAGAAAGCGCGCGAGGCCGCCTGACGGTGTCGGCCAAGGAAACTGGCTCTGGGGGGAGTTCGTTTATTGAAAACTCCAGAGAAGGCAACTTGTAGTTCAGTTTTAACATTATGAAAATTTTCAAATGAGCAGAAACGTTGAAAGAATCATCCAGGAACACCCTCCCCACGTCCGCCCACCACCCCAATTCTATGACTGTTAACATCCATCAACCCAACTATCCATCTTATTTTTTGTTGTGGTGGTTAATCCTCACCCAAGGATATTTTTTTCCGTTGATTTTTAGAGAGAGTGGAGGGGAGGGGGAGAGACAGAGAGAGAAACATCGATGTGAGAAAGACACATCAATTGGTTGCCCCCGACCAAGGCCGGGGATCGAGCCTGCAACCGAGGTAGGTGCCCTTGACCAGAATCGAACCTGGGACGCTTCAGTCTGCAGGCTGATGCTGTGTGCACCGAGCCAAACCGGCCAGGGCCCATTTATTTTTGATGCATTTCAAAGTAAGTTGCAAACAGACGTCCATCTCGCCTTGAACTCTTCTGCCTGCAAATCATTGCCTAGAGTTCATTATTTCCAAGCAACAAAGGCTGGCTCATCAACAGCAACCGAAGCTCGCTCCGAGCAGATGGGATGGTGCCTCCAAACGTGAAGATAGCTGCTCACCAATGCGAAGGAAACCGCCCCCAGGGGCAACACCACGTCTTCCCAGCTGAACCTACTGTAGAAATGTTACTGCAAAGGGCAGAGGAGCCCTGAGGGTCAAGGGCATGGTCAGCCCTTCCACGGACCACGGGTGAGCCCAGGAAGAGGACCGGCCTTCAGGACCCCATGCCAGGGAGGAAAGCATGAGCACCAAGCGCCTGAGTGGGTGGGATGCTGTCCACTCACAGTGAAGACGTGAGCGCATGTGGTTTGGGGAGTAAGAGCAGAACGGCTGTCCCACTCCTGCTCGCAAAGCGCATGGCAGAATGGACAGCGCCTTCAAGTGGACTCAGACAACCGCCAGGCCCCGGGCTTCCTGCTAAGTTATCTCCCCACGTCAGGCCTTCCTCCCCTCCTGGCAGCCAGCCAGCGACGCGGTCTTCTGGCTTCCTCCCGATCTGAGGGCTGAGACCTACTGCTTCAACCCGGCCCCGCCCCCACTCGCTCTGATCCCCGGGCTAGTCCTCCTCCGCCGTCCTGGGGGCTGGCTGACATCCTCTCACCACGCTGACCGCTGACCGTCTCCCACAGACACAAAGCAAGGAAGGGCCGCCCGTCACAGAGTCAGGAAGGTCCCCCAGGGAGCCACGTAGGTGGGGAGCCATGTCATCCCTGTGGCCTGTGGTAAATGGACAGAAAAGCACCACGTGGGCAGGAAATACATTTATTCCTCCTCTGGTAGTAAAAGCAACCAAAGCCAATGTCACGTTTTAGGAAATAAGTGCATCTGCCAGGCCCGGGCTGGGTCTTCTTCAAGGGAAGGAGCCAGCACCCCTTTCTGCAGCCCGCGCCCCAGAAGGACAGACGCTGTAACGTGCTGAAGGCCGCACGATGGCAGGTTTGAGAGACCGAACCAGAGCCCTGCCTCAAAGGCCCTGTTAGCCCCATCTGGCTGGCAGATGTGTCTATTCCAGCCACATGCAAGGGCCCCCCGAAAATCAGGGGGCTCCTTCCTCACCCTCTATGTCACCTGCCCTGAAAATCCTCTGTGCTCCACCTCCTCACCCCTCCCTCTCCTCTAACATCTGGCACCACCGATCTTACTGTCTCCATAGTTTTGCCTTTTCCAGAATGCCACACAGCTGGAACCATACAGTGTATGTGGCCTTTTCAGACTTGGCTTCTCTCAGTCGTGTACATTTAAGGTTCCTCCATGTCTTTTTTAAAAATATATATTTTTATTGATTTCAGAGAGAAAGGTAGAGGGAAAGAGAGAGAAAAACATCAATGATGAGAATCACTGATCGGCTGCCTCCTGCACACCCCCTACTGGGGATCAAACCCACAACTCAGGCATGTGCCCTGACTGGGAATCGAACCGTGACCTCCTGGTTCATAGGTTGACGCTCAACCACTGAGCCACACCTGCCGGGCCTAGGTCCCTCCATGTCTTTCCATGGCTTGATAGCTCATTTCTTGTTAGTGCTGAATAATATTCCATCAGTCGGATGGACCGCACTTTGCTGATCCGGTCGCCTATGAAGATGATGACATCTTGGTTGCTCCCCGGTTTGGGCAATGGTGACTGCAGCTGCTGTAGACATTGACGGGTGGGTTTTTGTGTGGACACAGGTTTTCAGTTCCTTTGGGTGAATACCAAGGAGCAAGACTGAGGGACTGGGTGGTAAGCACATGTTTAGTTTTATAAGAAACTGCCACAGGGTCTCGCAAAGTGGCTGTATGGGATTCTTTTAAAATCAGAATATTCCCACGGGAAGGGCAAGGACGAGGGGCCTGTTTTAAGGGATGCCCAACAGGAGGCGAGAGCCCCAGCGATGCTTCGAGCACTTGGACCACCTCTCTTGTGGTTCGTGGCTTTCTGCCAGGTAATGCTAGGATTACACGTCTCCTCCCCGCTATCAGAAAATAAGCTTGCTGAGGGCCGGGCCTACTATACACTGTGTCCCCTAGCGCACAGTAGGTATCAAGCAGCACGGAACGCACTCAGAGCCAGAGCTGGGGGAGGGAGGGCGGTCTAGCTTCAGGGAAAGTTAAGAGAAGATGCAGAGAGGAAGGCCAGAGGCATGTGTGCAACTGTGGGATGATTCATGTGATGGCGATGAGCCAGCTGAGAGGAGAGGCTGGAGGCACAGAAACTCCAGAGGGGGCCCCTGGGACACGGGAGGGGCTGGGAAGTGACCCTCTGAGCCAGGGAAGGAGTGAGGTGCCCGAGAGGGGAACAGAGAGACACTG